TGATTTGACAGTTGAAAGCAATGATTGGGTAAATGGTTGTATATTATCAGATATGTAAAGCAAAGCCACGCAAATGTGCGGTCATTATCTGTCAATTCTTTGCTTATATTCTGATTCTTGTGGTCATGACTGGAATCTAAAGCTGCACTAAATACTAAAACTGCATGTTTGACATCATTTTGCTGTAGACTTAAGTGAATTTTATAGAGAAATATCTCCAATATTTGGTGCGAACGCTGTTCAAAGTCATTAATACCGAATACAGAATCGTTGAGCAAATTGTTGAGTAATTCATTAGAAAGGGTTGACTTATCAGTGAAACTCGTAAACAGAGATAAAACACATTTCCAGACCCTATAGTGAGGGCAGTGTTGGACTGCTTTCGTGCAAATGGTCTTTAAGTTAAACTTCGAGTCCTCGCCTTTCCTGACGACTCGATTCGAGTAAATGAAGAGATAGTGTTCATAGAGTTCCGGTTCGGTTGAGTTGTTCTCCAAAGCGCGCGACAAAACATTGAGAGCACTATCGATAGAGTCGGAAGAGTTGTTGTCAGAGCAGTATGGTTTGGGAAGTCGTCCACAATTAGCAGCTCTTGTTATCGACGACAACAAGAAAGATGGACAAGAAGTCAGTGACGATGAAAGTGCTAATGTTTTTTGAGTTTTGTTTTCTATTATCAATTTTAACGAAAAATATATTTTATTTAATTTCAAAGATTTTTTACTTTCTTTTTAATTCTATACATAAAGTAATAACTTTTAATACACTATTTATTGTTACAAATAATAACTTAAATATATTTTCCAATTTAATAGAATTATACGATAATTATAAATGAAATTGTTGTGACTTATGAAATAAATTTTAAAATTAATTCAACATAAAAAGCTTGCAATAAAAACAATATTCAATTGAATTATAGTGCGGTATAATAAATACTATACAGCACTTTATTCCATGAGGACATCCACTTTAGGACCGACTCGTTTGCAACCGGTTTTTGAATATAGTTTAGTGTCGGACGGGAAGTACTGCAACTCATCGGAAACCTGTGGTTAAAATACATTGAATTCATTGATATAATAGTAAATGGATTCCAAAAATAGTTACTTTTCTAATGAACTCTTCTCCGGGATCTACTAATGGCGTGCTTTTGTTGTAATGAAGTCTCAGATAATCATAAATACATAGTTTTATGTGCTTTTTCTCCAACGGAAGGAATGGTACGAAAGCGTCGATCAGATTCTTCTCGACGATATCACTCTTATAAAGGCCTCCGTTTTCATTGAAAGCCCCGAAATTGACGAGTGGTTCCAAGTCTTTCATTGTGAGGTCTGTGCGCTCTCTGCCAGACAAGTGGTGATCGTAGGTCGCCTTATTGATGGCGGCGCCGCCAATTTCGCTGTTCATAGCAATCAAACAATCAGTAAATGGTTACATGCGATCAAAGTGTGGATCAAATGAAACCTTATGAATATAAAAATAGATTTTCTGTAATCGATAGAATCGACGACAGGATTGTAATCAATGAATGGTTTGATGACATCGATCACTCCGGGAACCAATTCCGCTATTTCATCGAATATGATGAGAGAGCGGTCGCACGTCTTCACGGCATTCGTCACGTTACCTCTGATCCATTGCGCCATCAGATACTTATCATTGGTATTAAATTTGGTGGTAATCACGTGTCGCACGAAATTACTTTTGCCGGTCTCGTCATACCTCCGGAATAGGTTTTTGGCCAAAATTTCGGACACGAAGTTCTTTCCCCCGCCGGTCCAGCCGTGGAAAGACAGCACTAATGCCTTCTTCGGCGTCGCGTTCTTCATGTGCTTCGGCACCAACTTATTGATCACATGTTTGGCCAAATGCTGGCCATGGAGTTGAGTGTTGAGGCTCTGCTCCAGGAGTGGCAGCTCGTAGTCGATCCACGACTGTTTTCGCAAGTGTCCCGACGAGTCCCTCACGAGTCGCTTGTCTTCGCCAAATGGATGGCAACACTCAGCGGTCGAGCACTTCAGGTAATCCCACGTCGAGTATATGGCGCCCAATCCGATGGCCCCCAACACCCCCACCACCGACGAGGTGATCGGTTCCAGACCCAAGACTAACCTCCAGTTCATTGCTATCAATATTAGCACCAATTTCTTGACTGAAGACATTTTGGTTACTATCTTACTACTAGATTACTAGACATCACTAGATTACTAGGTTACTATATCATTACCATGAGTATTACAGTACTTCATAAAAATGATTATTTTTGAGAAAGTATAAGTTTTAGTCAAGAATAATCAAAAATATCAATCATTTATGCAATCAAGTGATTCCAATGAATAGTAAATTAATGTTAATCTTACATAGAATAACATTATTAATATTTCTTGTATTAGAGTCTGATAAATAGACTTAATAACTCTTATCCAAAAGTTTTATCACCACTTTTGAATTTATAGTGCATTTTACAACTATTAATATACCAGTAATAGCAAACATTTTGTGTGCAAAGAATATCTAAATTAGCTCAATATTAGTTTTGTTAATTTGTTGAACATTTATGATAAAAATAATTGATTTTAATAATTAATAATTTTTACATTTTTAATATAAAAAACTTGAAATATTTAATTTAACTTATTTATTATTTTAATGTTTAGATGCAGACTAATAATACATTATTCATACATTAAAAGCTTTGTTCAATCTTTGCTTTCACCAAATGTAAGCAAAATATTTTAAAAACAGATAAAATGATAAGAAACCACAGAATGTTTAAACACATAAAAATATTTATCCAAAAAAATCTTATTAAACAAACAATTGATGCAAATATTACTCAAATCACAAACAGGTTTAAAGTTTAAACTAATTATGAAAAAAACAAACCAATAGAGGGCTGGGATTATGGTCTACGTCTGCCGTTTGCGGGGCAGTACTCGGCGTACTCTTCCCACGAACAGCCGGCCGACCCGTTACAGCACTCGTCGATTATTCCTCTTTTCCTAATTCTCTTATTATTACTTTTCTTGAATCGAAAGATTCCGAACATATTATTGGCTTCCTTTGGCAATAGGAAGGGTCCGTTTGTGAACGTCTCGACTAAACGGCAAATAATTCATTAATTAATTAATCAATCAATTAATCAATTAATTGAAAAGTGAATGAATGAACAAAAATAAAGCTAACCTTCGATGAGATCTCGCTTTTTGCGGAGTTTGTAGATGTCTTTATCGCAGACCCACTCCATATGGTCTATGAGGTCCTGATAACAGCGTTTGTGTTTCTCTGAGTGCCAGATGTGTCTCCAGTCCTCATCACTCCTCAAACTGAAGATTTTATTCCAATTCGAAGAATCACTCAAATCATTGTTTCCATCAACAAATGTCTTCACACTTATGGATAACACAAACATACAGACAAACCAAACAAATGCTTTGTATGTTTCAAAGTTTCGTTTCATTTTCAATCTCTTAGCTATTAATTCACGGATTGACTTAAACTTGTTTGAACTGAAACTAGCAAACAATTGTCTCTTGAAAACAAACTTTTGATATTTTGAAAATTGCAAACACGAGTGAGAAATGTAGTAAAAAGTTGTTTTCGTAGAGAAGATTCACTCGATTTGTATTCAAATTTTGCTCAAAGAATAGATAAGAATCGGATTTAAAAGGCAATGAGAAATACTTTAACAATAGATGTTCAACAGTAAGAAAAATTACTAATAAATAAGAATTACTATTTCCTTATAAGAAATCTTTTTATCGAAACTTTTGAATTCAATGAATTAAAGCCAATTCAATAACCATAACATTTGAAGAGCAGTTTTGTCCGCTTTTAGTGACAATTTCTCTTTCATTCAAATGACGTACAGATGAGTAAAAATAACAAGAATCCAAGAGTTTATTCATATTTAATAAAGAATTTAATTTTTCTGTATTTGTGTTGTGAACGGTTTGGGAGGGATTAGGCTATTATTATGTCAAACAAAATAATAACTAGAAATACAATTTATGGCTTACATTAAGAGTTACTTGAAATAGCAATACAAACAGAATTTATTGCTTCGATTAAAAACTCGAGACAAACCTTCATATAATGAAAGCCAATGTAAGACTAAGTCGTGAAAGGATGCGTTACTAATGTGTTTCTCATCAGAATTACACAATTATTGCTTACATTAGCCCTATTTACTACCAAATTCATTATATTCACTACTGTATTTACTGTACTGTATTTTTCGATCAATACGCCAATAAGTTTCTATATTAACCCTAAACTTCATTATACTATAACACACTTCTATTATTGAATATTTCCTAAGAATTCTTCATAATTATTGAATACAAATATAAAGAAATGTATCAATTAAAAGATACAGAATTCATTAATTATTTATTTAATAATGCTCAATAACTGTCCAGTTCAGGTAGACTCAACAAATTACTGATAGAATATCAATGTAAATACATGTAAATTATGTAAAGTATACTATATATATATTTTAAACTAAATTTAGCAGTATAATGAAATCTTCAACAAATAGAATCCAGTTCTGTTCAATAATACTGGAATTTTGACTGAAAATAATACAGTATTTTTAAAACTATTCTAATGCATTGATTCAAATAGTATATCAAATACAATAGTCTATGTACAATGGTATAAAAAGGAATTGTTATTAATGTTTTATTTTTATGTCAATTATATTTACTGTCGTTAAAATAATATGGCATTCAAGTTATTGATTACAGACTCTTACTTTTTAACTAACACACTTGCCTATTCATGCAAACTTTACTTCATTGAGTTATTAAAGTGACCGCTACTTACTTATCCATTTGATGGGCTATTATATGATACAATTTAAATATTTAATATCATATAAAAAATGTTAAGATGAATAATAGTAATTTTCGATTTTTAATAAGAATAAATATCAAATAATTATCAATATATTAATATAAAAACATTAATTCTTATTGAATGAAACAAAAATCATAAGTTAGTTATGAAAAGAATGAAATCTTAAGCTCATTATCACAAATATCTTTTGCTTGTTTCAAATGTTCAAAATGTTTAATACACGCCTCATATGTCTTGAACTGTAAAGAAAGAATAATTCATATGAAATGAAAACAATTTAAATTAAATGTTAATAATAGCGCTTACATTCTGCCATAAACTGGAATTATAGGGCATTAAAGAGATGGCAATTTGAAAGAACTTGTGAACAGACAAGTGATCGCTTCTCTCGATTGCCAAACCAATAGCACTGGAAAACAATTTTCGTAATATTATAACATAGAATATTAGACTATAACACGTTATATAATATAACACGTTTGGTTATATAATTTCATTATATAATTATTAAACTATAAAAAGTAAATATAAGATACATGTGACTAGAATGGACTCACATTTTCCAAAAGGGCAAAGACTTGAAGCGAATCTTTTTATCGAAAACAATGGAATTAATCAAAAGCCAAACCCTTTCCTTTTGATTGATTTTAAGTGACAAATAAATAGCAGTCAAAGTAATGTCAAGATTGTCTGGAAGTAGTTTCGCGAATTGAATCAAAGCCTTTGATTTCTCGTTATTCTGTAACATTTGTGTTAAAAATCTAATCATTTGTGACTGAAATGTAGGATCCGTTACTGTGAGACAACAATGTCTGACCGATTCAAACAAATCCATAAATTGTTTCTCATTTTTGATGTTTTTCATGGAAAACTCCAAATAACTGTTGAATGCAATCATAGATTAAGAAAAGTAAATATTTGGTAAATACGATCACTTACTTGGACCACAAAAGCAACAAATCTTTGACATCAGTTCCGTCAACTGAACTTAAAGCTAAAGCCATTTGAAATACGGAATCAATTTGTTGACTAGAATTACATTCAATTTCCAAATATAATCTATATTTTATCAAACAATTGATTTAGTTTTCACTTATGAGATCGTAGAGTGAATAGCAATGACTTACATATAAGAGAGCCAAAGGACGAGAGAATTGGATTCTTTAGGTTTTCTGCAATTAATTAACTTAAAGTTTGGGTCATTTTCCTGAGATTCCAAGAGCAGCGCCTCAAACGCTTCTTTCAGCATATTTTCGGTTATAATATAATTGTTGTAAAAATTGGAAACAATAAAAAGCAATTCATTTTTGGCTCTCGATGTTTGACCACATTTGGCGTAATGCTTGGCGACATTCAAATGAATTCTGATATCTTCATGTGAGACATAAATAGCACTTTGTCTCAGAATTTCCACTAAATTTAGTGAATTTTTGTTTGCTTTAAATCTATGCTCGACTAGCAATGGCCACAAAATTGAGTGATTTTTGGTTAATTCAATTAAATGGTCGTAATATTTATGATCCGATTCAAAGACTAAATAAAGTTCAGCTAAATTCAAATGAATGGCAAAACAGTTTTGGTTTACAATTAAACCATTTTCAACGTTCAAATCGCAATGTTTGGTCGCTTTGTTTAAGTGCTCTTTCATGTCATTCAAGTGTTCCTTCATTTGAAACTTATTTCGCAATGAAATCCAATCAAATATAAACACACTTTTGTTAATAAGTTGGGGAAAGCCTTGATTTGACAGTTGAAAGCAATGATTGGGTAAATGGTTGTATATTATCAGATATGTAAAGCAAAGCCACGCAAATGTGCGGTCATTATCTGTCAATTCTTTGCTTATATTCTGATTCTTGTGGTCATTATCTGTCAATTCTTTGCTTATATTCTGATTCTTGTGGTCATGACTGGAATCTAAAGCTGCATTAAATACTAAAACTGCATGTTTGACATCACTTTGCTGTAGACTTAAGTGAATTTTATAGAGAAATATCTCCAATATTTGGTGCGAACGCTGTTCAAAGTCATTGATACCGAATACAGAATCGTTGAGCAAATTGTTGAGTAATTCATTAGAAAGGGTTGACTTATCTGTGAAACTCGTAAAGAGAGATAAAACACATTTCCAGACCCTATAGTGAGGGCAGTGTTGGACTGCTTTCGTGCAAATGGTCTTTAAGTTAAACTTCGAGTCCTCGCCTTTCCTGACGACTCGATTCGAGTAAATGAAGAGATAGTGTTCATAGAGTTCCGGTTCGGTTGAGTTGTTCTCCAAAGCGCGCGACAAAACATTGAGAGCACTATCGATAGAGTCGGAAGAGTTGTTGTCAGAGCAGCGGCTGATGTGATAATACGCCAGTTTTATCCACAACTGGATATTATGCGGATCTGTGGCCAGAGTAGTCTCGAGTTGTGCACTAATGGGCACCCCTTCCGGTGCAAAGAAACGATTCTTTATGTAAATGTCCGGATCGGCAGATAATTTCAATTCAGATATTTTCGTTTGATTTATAACTAATGTCTTGTCCTTAATATTAAACCGATACTTGAGATCATCAAAAGGTATGTCTATTTTAGATGTATTGAACACTTTGGGAATTCTTCGCGTCAACAGACATACAACTGATGGTTTCGATAGTTTTCTAATCTGTTCGGCAATTCTTCTGCAGTGAGTCTCTAATGACAGCTTCGGATTGGAATCAACGAGTTTTTGTGAGAATTGATGCAATTTTTGTTTTATTGCTTCAAACAACTCGCCATCAATTCGTTCAGGAATTTCTGATGTAATTCCGGCTAACTTTGGCTCATATAACAACAGATCAACCATTTTATTGGTGCCATTCAATAGACTTTTATCGATGTGTTGTCCCAAACACTTCTCGTCATTACAAGAGCCCAACAAATCTATTTAATGACACAATGTGTTAATCAATATAAATCAAAGCGATTCATTATAAAACATTTTACCAAATTTGCAGATCTCTTGCAATGGATTCAAATTATTGGTCCAGTGATCAGAACTGATCTTTTTTGGCTGATTCTCAATGAGACGATAGGAATGTAAATGCGAGAGAACGCTGTCATAAGAATTGTCACAACTATTTGCTTTGTAATCGACTGATAGCTGAGAATCCATTTCAGGAATATTTACATGAAAATTGTTGTGACATTTGTAGGAAAACATATTCTCCAGAAAACACTCGTAAGACATCAAAGAGTCAATTGAATACACTTTGAGTAAGTCTTTAACGAGTGTTTGCAGAATTTTTTGTGATTCATTTTTGTCGTTATTTGGTTCAGGACTTTGAACGGCTTTCAGGACAAAAGGGTTCGGCGACGAAGGCCTCAAAAGATTGGCTTTTTTCAGATTCAATAGTTTGGAACAATTCTCTAACTTCTGCATCAGTTCCTGTTGTAAGCGTTTCTTATGGTCGGCCATATCCTCCTTCGAGGGACTATTCGCTTCTAATTTGGACTCTTTTTTGTTAGGACTTACAGAAGAGCTTAAACTATTAGATCGCTTAAAGGAGGCACCGGTAGGCAACTTATATGCGTTTCCTTTCAATTTGGTTCCCATTCGAAAACATTCTTTCTTATAGTTAGTGATATTCTGAACCTCTTGTTTGACATCTTTTTCAATATTCTTGAGCTCATCATTAAACGAATGAAACTCTGAAGCGGTGGTCGAAACGACACGCGTGGCCGCGATGAAGGCCTCTTGCATTTTGCGCGCCTGTATCTGTGCCTTTCGTAAGGCATTCCTCTTTAATATCACTCGATTTTTGAGTAAATTTCTCTTTGAAATCCTTTCAACTAATCTCTCGTTCGATGATTTCAATAAAGACTCGTTTTCTTTAAGTTTTTTATCATTGATTTGGTTTTGTTCTCTTCGCAGGATTTCAGCCTTTAATTCCTGGAGTTCTCTCTGTCTTGTAATCGACAGCACAGGCAGTGATTGGACAGACTTTTTGTTTGGTTCTGATCTGAGGCGCGCCTGTCGTAGGAAAAAGTCCAATCCTTTCGGCACATTAGAGGTGTTGTCGCGGACGTCCAGTTCCTCATCAGTGGAATCGTCTCCAAAATTGATAATAAGTTTAGGAATTGGTTTGAGAGGCAACTGTTCCGTGGGTTTTGTCATGTTTTCAGTTTCCGAACTCATATTAACCAAAGTTTGCGTTTCAATACGGGTTTCAGGAATGGATTCTGTGTTGGAGTTGTGTTCGCTTGAAATCATGACATTCTCTGCAATCAATTCATTCACTTCTTCGTCTTTATTATTCTTTCGGTTCACCTCTTGTTCTGCCTTTGCTTTCGATCTGAACAGCGACTGAAGGAGTTGTTGTCGAAGTCTGAGCTCTTCGTTCTCTTGTTCTTCGATTTGCTTCTTCTTTTTGGACGCGAGAGCCAAACGTCTCAACTCAAGCTCGTCGTCATCTTCTACTTCTTCATCATTCTCTTCGCGATTCTCTTTCACTTCAGTATCCAATCCAAACATGTCATCACATTTGACAAGCTTTTCAATGTTCTCCTGTTCTTCTCTATCAATAACTGTCATAACCTTATCGTCGGGTTTCTCGTAGTCTTCCAATTCCTTCAGCTGTTCTTTCAATCGCTCGTATTCTTCGAGTAAGTCCTCATACGACGACTCATTCATATTATTCCTCGACTTTGGTCTCACATTACTATATCTCTGGTCTGAATATTGTGTAATCACTTGTCTCTTAGCATTTCGTTTCACTTTTCGCCGACTTTTATGACCACTTTTGTGACACAATTTGCTGTGAATCACACGTTTGGACGAAGACTTGCGAACCGGAGAAACAGATTCTTTGGATTTATTGCTTCTCTGAGCAGTCGATTGCTTCGACCCTCTGTTCACTCTATTGTCACTTCTTTTGTCCATTTTATCACTTTTAAAATATGTATCACTTTTTAAAAGACGTTTAAGTCTTTCAGTTTGTTCTTCACTTACACTCCTTTTACTACTCTTAGGGTTAAAATCCAGACACTTATCACTCGTTTTAAGTGATTTCACATTATTATCCATCTGTTTGACACTTTGCTTCTCTAAGGGATTGGGAGAAAGTGGACATAAGTTAGAGATGTCTTCTTCGGGATCATATGGAGACAGGTCTGGAGGGTTGGACTGGTCAGACATCTCTACTTCTTCGATGTCATTAGCCGTCTCTAAGACTATCGTTCTATTAGTTAATGAATTCATAAAATTGTCAACTTTTGCGTTAAACGACTCCTCAGTTCTTTCATCTGAAGTAATGGTTTGCATTTGAGTGTCGTTTGGGTCGCAAATGAACGGAATGGTCGAGTGATCAGAGTTTGGGATCACAAAAGAGGTGACACTTTTGGGTTCAGACGCGTGAATACTGTCGGATATGAATGGCACTGATTGTGGCGGACATTGATTAGGACTAAGAGACTGTTGTGTCGGATGAGGATAATGAAGGCCATCGAAGCGCTGAATCGGTGGTCCAATCGGTGGTCCAATCGGTGGTGGAAACGAATGAATGGATGGTAAATGTCTTAAAGGCATGAGTGGTGTCGGAAGCAAAGCATTGGTTGGAGGCATCTGTGGTCTCATCCGAAATGCCATTTGATTATCACATCTAAAATTAGGTCCAATTGAAGGCATCGGTGGTCGCGAACCAAATCGGTTCCCATTGAAAGACATACGAATCGATTCATTCATCAGATGTGGTCTAAAGCGAGGGTTCAGTTGATTAGGATTTCGGGCCACAAATGCCTTTGGGTTTTGACTTCTTTGGCGAACGGAAGCGTTGCCACCAACGAGTCTATCGTCACAATCATTGAATGAATTGGAGTTTCGGTCAAACCTGAGGTCGATATCACTTAAACCAAACAAAGAGTTTTGGCTCTCATTTAACACCGACTGAAATATCGGTGAATACGTCTTCAGATGTCTGTCGTTGGCAACTGTGGTCTCATTTGCGGCCAAATTGTGGCCAAACCTGACATCATAGGTGTTGTTGTCTTCGATCTCTCCTTCCTCTAAGTCATCGAAGTCTGCGTTTAAAGACATTTGGCGTCAATTGAATCGCAACTAAATCCACACAAATGTCAACAAAATAACAGTTCATTCAGTCATTGCATCACTTGTTAAGACACAAAACCGTTCATAAATACCATTACTTTCGGAGCAATACTTGCATCAAAATAATCGCAATTTAAACACATTTTAATAATTTAATAGAAATGTGTTTAAAATGTGTTTAAAACAAAACACAATACAAATTAAATTAAATTTTAGTCCAAAAGTTATTCAATTAAATGCAGTATTGAAAATAGATGGCAATCCCTCCCCTGTGCGTGCGTTACGTTATCTGTGACTGAGACTAAAGTCCAATTCGCTATCATTTTTTGAATTTGAAAATCACTTTTGAGATACCATTTGACGATTGCATGCATTTTGTGGTCATTTGATTGCTATGTCTGGACGTCAGAGCAAAAGTGGTCACAATTACGCCACCAGACAATCAGTGAGACAAAGAAAACCTCTTGGATTTGAAAATGTTTACGAAGACCAAGTCGATCATCAAGTGGTCGTCGATAAAGACAATGTTAGAGGTGTGGAAGACATGATCGATAATGAAGAGGAAGACGAGGAAGAAGTGTCGCAAGGAATTTATCCAACGCTTCCGAAAGCGAAGAATCAACAAAAGCCAACCACTCGACCGCCCATCAAATCTCCTCCAAGAGCTGATCCAAGAGCTCATCCAAATGACAATCATTCAAAGAGTGGTTCCATTTGGCTAACGATAGCCATGTTATTTGGTTTGTGTCTAACGATGATAGCAGGATATCTTGTTCTTAAAGACTACACATTGTTCACAACGGATCCAATGAATCGTTTGACTGAATGGGAGATATTTAACCACGAATTCAATTCGTTTAAACTTAAGTACACAGAAGTATTGCCACAAATCGGGATCAAAGTACTGAATATTGCGGTCAAAAATGTGTTGACCCGAAGAGATACCACTTCTGTGGTGCCGGCAGTGGTGCTGTTGATCGCATCCCAAGACAACTCAAATGTCTTGAATTGTATTGAAAGAGATTTTGTGTTAACTGTTAATAAGGCATACAATGAGAGCGATTCCGCGCGAATTGATGGCAAACAAACCAATTCCGGAGATATTATCGATAAGTTTACCGACAATTTTGATAATCAAATGAAGCACACGATTGTTGTCGAGAATGTCGAGTCAATTGGTGCCAAAGACGTGATGTCTTTACATCAGTTCACAGATCACCAGAACTCGAGGTATAGAGAAGCGATAATTGTGTTGAAAGCCATTCATTACGAGAGCATCGATTTGAACAAAAAGGCGACACAACTGGAAATGGATTCAATAGCGACACAACTCTTCCAAATGAAGTGGAAGAATGCTATGAAAGAGGAGACACGGTTTGCTCTGATAAGTCGATTGACTCCTTCAGTGGTAACTATCATAAGTACAGATCAAGGCTTTAAGTGTTGAAAAAAGTGCTAAATTATTATAACTTTATATATAAATTAGTTTTAGTTTTATTTGTTTAAAAGGTTTTTCATTTTACATAACAATTGCAATGTTTTATAAATAAATATAAAATTATATAAAAATAGCTGTAAATATGAGTGATTGGCACTGATATGAATGCAATAACTATGGCTTATGGACGATCAGCTGCCACGAAGAGCTCCACTTAAGACTCGTGATATCACTGGCCGTGAGTTTTCCGGTTCCGTAACTCAATGGCAGGAATTTGAAATAAGTGTAGATTATGGATGACATAAGTATTGCAACCAAACTGTTGATAACTTTCGATGGTATCAAACATTTCAAGTGCTCGATAAGAGCTGCCATTAACAACAATTTGAATACCAGTGCCGGCAGGTAATGGTGCAAAAATAGGGTCCTATCAGACAGGAAATATGGCACCAAATATACCAAATACCCGATTGTGAACAACTGTCCAAATCTGACAAATTGATTCCATTGATCTTCAAATGGGATTCAAATCAATTAAAATGCAATTTCATTAAATCCTATGACTTATGACTAGGAATGCAATAAAAATGGATAAAAAGTGGGTTTCTATAACTGGGCTCAGTGTATCCATGTGATTCATAAAAAACACATTCACTAATTTAATCAGTTTTTGATTTTCAATATTTGAATCCTTTATAATAATTTGAGTATTCAATTGATAAAACACTCAAACCTTTATTAATGGATGAAAAAATATATTATGAATAATAAAATTTGCTGAGTAATCAGCAAATTTAAAGAAAATTGTAATAAATAGTCATACAACTTTATAAAATGAGTATTTATATAAACGAATATTCATATAAAATTATTATAAAGAATTAATATTTTTGAAAATCAAAAACTGATTCAATTAGTGAATGTGTTTTTTATGAATCACATGGATACACTGAGCCCAGTTATAGAAACCCACTTTTTATCCATTTTTATTGCATTCCTACTTATGACTTACGATCGGAAATGTCGTAGAAATGCCTTTTTCTTCGTAATAAATAAAATATAAATAGAAATAAATATAAAACAATTGAAACGTTGGCGGAATACCACAAAACAATATTTCCAATCAAATGGATTTGTGCCTACAATTAAGGGATCAAACATGAGACACGGATTAGACATTGGTGTTTGCGGCATGTTCAGGTTGCGACATACATTGCTGTCAGGGCTGACCCAATAAGCGATTCCCTTGGTGAGTGTGACCCAATCTAATGGTGAGTCACAGCTATAGATGTGATTTTGGACGTTCTCCTGGTTAACGACAAGCATTTTGTACTGTAATTCAAACATCTTGACAAAGAATGACAGCTGAGTGGGTTTGAGGGGCACGAACTCAGCCATTCCCATCTCCCGTTCCCTTTCCTTTAAGTCAGAATTCTTGGTATATCTGTGTTCCTCAACATTCCAGACGGTGTCCTCCTGGTTGTGGTTCTTGTCGGTGACCATCTCGTGCTGATTGAACCCCCAGTCAGGCAATTGTTTGCCACTAAACTATTGCAACCAAATAGGGGTTAAACTCATCTAAACGTCAAATGAGACTCACTTTTAAGGCTTGAGATGTGTTGGCGTGAATGAACTGAACCCTTGAGCTGATGGTATGCCACAATCCATT